TAATTTATGGTTTTATAGCGGCAGCAGCAGCATCGGTGTTCGAACGATGGAGAGCAAGAAGCCAAAAGGAGAAACAAGAACTCGGTCGGTCAGTCAGACTTCGAGTGCAGCTCGGATCCATCTGGCACTAACAAACTTTTGCTTCTGTCGCGTCGACAATATCGAGCATGTCGTCCTCAACAACAACGAAAAGGAAGAAAGAACGAAACACTCAATGTACGCATCGCCGGACTCGGCATGAATGCGTCCTCTGTCGTCGGGGGGAATTCCCCCGCTCCGAGTACGCCAACAACGGGAGCGATCATGTGTGGGAGGAAATAATGGAAGGATAAAAAGAAAGCCTTGAAGGATCATTCTGCTAGTCACTCAGCCAGTCAGTCGGTCAATCACTCAATCGAATCGATATGGAATGTGTCCAAAAAGCCTCTCTGTACCGAGAGAGGCTCCGGTGGTTTCCAGGAGCTGATCGCGTCGTCGTCTTGGATGATCATCATGGAAACGACGACTAAAGCCGCGTCGAGCACAACGACTCCGGTCCGGCGAATGACGAAAACGACGACGGGAGCAACCGATAGGAATACAGAACAGTGACAGGCCTTTGTGACGAGAGGCAAACGTTCACATTAACGCCTTATCCTTGTCCTACGAACAACTCCTACACGTGCTCTCGATTGACCGAACGACCGACGGATCAGCCGACCGAGCGACTGGATCGCTCAATAGTGTTCCACTCTATTGGACGCTGACGACGGATGGACGGCAGGCGCCGCATTACCCAGCAAGCCTCAAGAAGAGGCGGTACCGATGAAGAAGCGGCGGCGGCCGATCTTACAAGAAAGAATGCTTTATGTGCATCTTCTGGCGAAAATCGCGCCACCAGTCCTTTAAAAACAGCACCGCCTCTTGCTCGTTCGGTAGATCCTGCGTCAGTGCGTCCGGACCAGCGAGCGAGCGACGGGTCGGTCGGTCGGCCAGCGTCGGTGAATCTTCGACATTTTCCTTCTGGTTCCCCTGCGCGTCATCGTCGCTTCGACCGAGACTTCGTGCTCGTTCCTTCCTTCTTTTCTTTCTCCTTCTTCTTTCCCTTGGTAGAGAACATCTACTCCTGTTGACCCGACGACACCGGAGGCACTGCAGATGCCATTTCAAGCGAAGATATCAGCAAGGTGTACCACCTCGGTCCAGGACCCTGATCCGGCTGAATGGAGAAGATTATGATTCGCGGTGCGCCTAACGGATGTCCGCCGACGGCTCCACCGGAGTTAATCCCTGATACTTCGTGAAGATACATCGATAATAAGTGGAGTGGAAGATACCGGATACTTGATCTGATCCTTTAATTGTGAACGCAGTTCGGCTCGTTGCCGATCCAATAGAGACCTTCTCCCGGGGATCGATACGCTAATTGTCCGCCCGTACCGCGTGGAGTCCACGAACGGATTGCGGTTGTCTGAGCTCAACGCACTCGCACACGCGGAAGACATGGGGGATCAGACAGGCAGGCAGAGAGAACGAACGAGCCAGTGAGCGGGCCACAGGAGCGCTGCGAGGTTCCGTTTTGACACAGAAAACTTCGGCAAGATGACAGAAGTACAAGCAAATGTCAAGCGACATGAATGTCAACGACGAACGTCGTCGCTCAGTTCAGCAGCTGTCCAAATACATTTGTCAAACAAGTCAACTTTGTCACTCAGCCATGCAGTCGGTCGAGTGGGCTGCCTGTCCGGACGGTCCCTGACTTGCAGGCAAGCATCGAGGCAAGAGACGGACGCTAGGATTTGTCCTTTCGTTATTAAGTCGACAGCGACCTAGCTCGCCTTCTCCTCATCGACGTCTGCTTCTCATCTGGCCGCTCACTTCTGCTGAAAGGCTGACTGAAGTTTTCGTCGGCGAACCTCGTACTTGCCAGAAGCAGCAGCAGCAGAAGAAGAACCAACAACGACGAAAAGTAGAAAACCCGCGAACACCCAGCTTCTCCTCGATGAGTGAAAAAACCATTTTTCATATCCTCATCAAGTCATGTGTCGTCGCATGGTGACACCGTCGTCGCGGTCGTCGTCGTTCCCGCCGCCGCTGCTGTCGACCAGGCCTTGCGTGGCGGACTTTACCGACCCGCGCAGTATTCGTTAGTCGACGTCGATTTTCCAATGCGACACAACCGAGGCTGAGCCCGCATCCTGATCCGAGACGTCGACGGAACGAAAACTGTGGAACGCAATTAAACTCGCGCGAATCATTGTTGTTGTTCGCGCTGAATGTCACCGCGCTCGTGGGGAGAAATCATAGGACTGTGTCCGTCCCAAAGGCCCAACGCTCGTTGGGCTTTAAAAGGTCCACTTTTCTTGGACTAATTTCTCAAAAGGGGCCCACAATTGATGCTGTTCTTGTTGCTGCTGCTGTTGTTCCTGCTGTTGTTAGTGGTGGTGGCAATGGCGATCCTGATGGTGGTGGTGGTGGTGTCAGAAAAGGGAGGTACCTCAGTCAGTAACAGCCGGTCAGCGATGCTTCTAACGCTTTCTATTTTTTTTGAAGCTTCTTCCTTTCGTTCCTCTGTCTCCTTTCTCGTCTCCCCCCTGCCCTCCCCCCAGATGACACGCACGTTTTTAATGGCATTCGATTTGCATATCGACGCCAGCAGCTCGTTGACACCGAGACCCTCGCAATCGTACTACGGACGAAGCTCTTTCGGTCGAAGGTTCACGACACTCCCGATAGCTCTCTGTCGCGGGAAAACCTGCGAGTCGACCCCGCGTCCTGACCTCCATGCAATTGTGGGACTTTCAGGAACGCCAGGTCCCATGAAAACCTCACCGGAAATTAGCATTGACAGTGACAGGCAACTCGTCGGTGTCCGACAGAATTTGACGGATCCGGTCTGGGCATTCCGGACGAATTCTTCGCCCAATTCTTCTCCGAGTTTAATCGAGCGTTCGCTCTGCATTCGCCGGCTCGCTCTTTTAAGGCTTTTGGTTTTCTGCGCTCCTGCTATCGCTTCAGATTTTTTGCGGTGTCTACGTCGGCTCCGTACACTTGCCTCAGTTTGTAGATAGATCCGTAGAGAACCGCCGCTACCATAAGAATTCCCGTAGGCGTGAAGAACGCCGCTCCGCCGAAGTCGTCGTCGGCAACTTTTTTGAAGAAGCCATGGCGGTGGTGGCGGCGGCGGCGGCCCCATGAGGACTTGCTCGCTTTCTCACTAACGTTTCTCTTCTATATCACACATACGAGAGTTTTCTGTTCCTTCTTGGGGTGCCGTTGGCGTACAGACGAGCATCATCGCCGACGACGACGTCGTGAAGGAGAGCACGCTTCCAAGAAGAATCACTACCCGTCAAACCGGTGAATTCGTTAAAAGATTTGTCCCACCGAGAGCAGGAGAAAAGAAGAAATGCTTCAGAATAAGTGCATGTGAGCGGCCTCGACAACTTCACAACGAAGAAGCGAGCATACCGAATGGTCAAGTGGAGTGTTCTCGAAGAAAGTTTAAAAGACCGCGCCGAATACAAATTCCGAATGCGAATGAGGTGGAACCGCGGAAAAATGCACACGTCGAAAGGAAGTGTGGATGTGATGGCAACTCGAATCGAGAGACAAAAAGAGCAGGGTTTCGGGGTAATGGAGGTGAATGTCGTAAGCGTTGTAGATGTACGAATTCGGTACGAAGAAAACTGAGGGCAGAAGAAGTACAACACACTTCGAGAATCATGATATGATGCTGCTGCAGGCATGTCTCAGTTGTAAATTTCTACCGTGTAACTTATATGCCCGATGGATGCGACCGCTCACGTGAAGCCTAATTGTCGTCTGGCACGCTTTCGCCGGCCTCTGCCACACCGACCGCTTGCCTACATGCCAACCAGCTCGCCCGCTTCCTCACTCGCTCGCTCGGTTGGTTTGTTGACAACGCTTTCGAGGACCCTCAGCTCCTTCACCGAGCCTATTCGACACGGAAATGTCCAGAGGATCGCTTCGGAACCTTTCCTCGTGCCCGGAATTCTCCGAAAAACTGTCGAGGCGACAGATTAAAACAACAGAATTCCTCTTGGTCTGCTTGTTTCGTAAGGAACATATTAACACGCAGAGCTGTCACTGAGCGAGCGAGCGAAGGAACGAAAACAGCCAACGAGCGAAAAAGCGAGTGAGAGTTCGATGCTGGGGTGCCGCCGTGAGAGCGTGATGCACACCCAGGTGTGCGTCAGGCGCGAACCGAAAATTACCTAATTTCGGCTCGAACACACATCAAAAACGATCGGGAACTTTGTGTCTGAGGCCTTCTGTTCTATCGTTCGTAGCTTCGTCCGACGGAACGGCCGACCGGTCCGCCGGCCGCTCGTTTGCTTCGAATGCTCGAAAAGTGACGCGTATGCCGGGGTACGAGTAGAAAACAAGTGTGTGATATAAAACATTCACCAGCGAGGGCTCGAATAGTTTTCCAAACAAATGAGATGTCACGAGCTCACGCAAAGACAATCTTCCAGGGAATTCCGATGGAACGAAATGAGCTTCGGTTCAATTTCGCGGAAATCTCGATTCTGAGCCGAACACTTCTCCAATACGGTCGAGGATAAGAACTCAATGTTTTGATTCTCAGTCTCCGCGCTCCAGAGACGAAATCGAGACGCGGGTTCTTTCATATTCCTTGCTTGGATCCACATATTTGAACGCGATGAATACGAGACTTTCGGATGCAACCGAAAGGCGATGTCTCGTCGCCCTTTTGTTTTCGCTTCTCGACACTAGTACGATTCCAGCAGGCGATAAAATACGACACCGGAAAAGTCAACAAGTGTCTCGGGTTCGTCTCTGTTTCTGATCGTGTGCGGTGGCGGTAACCCACCAAGCCATCGAGACCGCGCTCAGAAGACGAGAGAACGATTCCGTCGAGGACGGGAATTGTGTCATCAGAGAGTAGAAAAGTGTGTTCCCGATTTTCCAAAGGCGAGAGAGACGAGCGAGATCGCTCCTGAAATGGGGAGAATCGAGGATTCCGAGATACTTACATTGGGTTGGTCATGTTCCAGTAGATGTCAGGAAGTTTAGCAGCGCGAACCGTCAGAGTCAGTGCTTGCACGATCACAGCACTCATCCATAGCTTTGCACCGACCATCATTTTGGTTTTCGGTGTTTTCGGCGGGAACTCACAAGAAGTTCTAGTTGGATTCGAAGCGAAACGAACAAATCGCCGCTTTTAAACTTCAGAAGCCGTCGTCCTGGATCGAGAATTTCTCGATCGATCGGTCATTAATGAAGTTCTCAACTCATAAGGGAGCGGCGCCGCTCAAAATGTAGCCAATCAAAAGTAGCGAAAACGGTTCCAATGAAGCGACTACGAGACGGCAGTGAGGAGCACTGTTGGCATCGAGGACGTCTGTCAATCCTCACGCCGACTGATGTCTAACGAAGAAGTTGAGCTCCTCAGAAGTTTCCGCTTCTGCTCTCAACGGTGTCTAACACTTTCTGCGGGCGGGAAGCAGCAACGGCGACAAAAACAGAGGCGGCGTCGGCGATAACATCAACTACAAATAATCCATTCCTTCGAGTATCGAAGGCCAGAGTAGAACTTCGTCTGCGGAGACGATGCGAAACTGCTCTCCAGGACAAGTTCCTCAATTCGTTCCAAGGTGAACTGTCGATCGGTTTCCCGGTATGCAATGCACGAACACTCATCCACTTTTCCCTGTGTCAGAGGGACTCAACGTAGCAACAACTCCGAGTAAGTTAAATCCTAGGAGTCAGAAAGTGCGCATGACCCTTCACTAACACGGTCTCTGTCGAACTGATCCTCGGAGGCAGAATCCGGTCGGTGGTGGTGGTGCTCTCTCGTGCTCAAAAGAGTTTCCCTCTCCCAAATGTCGCCTCGACGGCGGAGGGACTTCGATGGCTCTTTCCTCTTTTCTCCAAGAACCCGGTTTGATGGCCGGCCAGCCAGCTCGCTGTCCATACAGACAGGCTCCAACTTCTGTGTACAACAACAACGACGAGAGAAAGGGTAGAAACTTACTCGCCTCACCCTCGCCCCAATAGCTCTTCTTCTCATCGAAAGCAAGGCAGGCAGGCCGGCAAGCAAGCAGGCGGGCCGGCCAAGCCTTGGATTCCGTCCGCCAGGGACGCTGCGGACGTGTTTCCCCCCCAGCGCTTTCCCCAGCGCGACTCAAGCGGCCCCATCGGACATCAAAGCAAGCGGCGGTTTTAGCGCGGGCACTTCGTAATTTATTTGCTGTTTAACAGCGACAGCAGCAAGAAACGCGTTTGCCCTCGCTTCGTGTTGATTCGAAGTGACAACCAGTAGATTGGTCGGTGGGATAGTTAGTTAGGAAGTTTTGAATGTAGTCAATCGACGAGCAGAGCGCTCAGGAAGCGGCCTGGAATCATGGTGGCTGAAGCAAAAGGGATATGGAAGCTCGGAGTTGCCTTCGATCAAGTTCCTGACTGTCCGAGTGAAGCTCGCGATCGATTATCAGTCGGCGAGAGACAACTAGACCGATATAGCCTCGCTCGGCCAGGACTCCTCTCCGGGGGCCCGTGCCAGGATGAACCGATCGATGTTTGGAATGAATTTAGTGACGGGAACTGCGAACGGCACTGGGCAGATACAGGACGAATTCGAGGCAACGCTAGCTCTCTGTCCCTTCGCCCTGAAACAAATCCAGATCCTGGCCTCCGAATTCCTCTGGCTGCCCCAGAACCCGGTTCGGATGGAGCAGTATCAAAGAATTCAAGCGCTCACCCTGTCCGGAAAAGACGGAAGGTGCCCCGAATTCAAATTTCAAAGTGCTAGTCCATTGCCGATCGACCGAAAAATGGTAACAGACCTCGTGTCAGTCAGTCATTGATCCGCTCGTGTTCATTCGTCCAATTCCAATTCCAATTCCACCGCAATCTGAGATACATATATCTTCAATGGATTGATTAGTCATGACATGACAGCGCGACGAGCGGCTGTGAGCGACGAAATCAAGGCAGGGACACTTAGGACCGTAGAAAGAGTACAGCTGGTAGAAGAAAAGCGAGAAAACACGCTCAAGCTAACGGCGACATACCGAGTCCCCAGAGGGTTCGAAAATGTCAGCAATGATGTCGCATCAAAGAGTCCGGCACACGCGCCCATAAGCGTAACTATTACCACGACTACATGCGAGCGCTACGCCACGGCCGCCTCAGCTATTAAGCAATGAGAACGAGAGAGCCTGAAGCGGACATCAATGTCAAGAATCGAAATGAATGTTTCCCACTTGGGTCTTCCCTTCTTGTTCTCTCGGTTGCTCGTCGGTGTGAGTGTGTCGAATGTGCCACCTTCCCACGGACTCTCTGCGGCGTCATCTTCTAAACATCCGTCTATCTGACACTCTACCGGAGTCGGTCAATCAAACGGAACGGATGAACTCGTCTATTTTAGTCATTCAATAAATCAATCTCACGAAGTGACTGCGTAATTAGCATCGATTTTTGTGAAAAATCTTCGTCGACGAGAGGAAAGGGCCTTGTTGACGGAGATTCGAGTTCCATGCGATGGAGATTTCACGCTCGATTCCGATCTGAAATCATACCGAGAATCCAACCCATGGAGCGATGATACCGATGAATATCGCTGCGGTCGCATACCGTTCATTGATTCGGATGTCGACGGTATGAGTGCACCCACGCTCAAGATGTGTCTTCGAAATGCTTCATCGATCCGCGTCGCCCCGAAGTTCACTGAAGCCTGCCGCTGTTTGAGCCTTTCTAATTGGAAGCCCTTTTACAACTAGATCAGCGAATGAGCGGACTCTGGAGAGAGGAAAAAAACTTGCTTCTGAGAGACTCGAAACGCCAGCCACCGGATCAAGAAACAATGCTGGACTTCCCGCAGAGAGCATGCGGCTGAATGAGCGACTGAGTGACTTCTCTCGTTCTCGGTGAAACCTTCCTCCCCGTGCTCAGGTGCCTCAGAGGATGAACCAACCGACCAATTAGGAATCGACTGATAAGCAAGCGGGACGGTGTCGCGACGTCCAGTCTTCGGGAGGCTTGTTTTCTCTCTTATTCCGCGGGTCCTGTCGCTCCTAATTTCTCTTTTTCTCTTGCTCCCCTGTGACCGGCAGCCGGCAAGGCTAATCCGGAGATAGGCAACGCTATCAGTTCGACCAGAAGTGCGTGTAGCAACAACAAGCGCCGGTAAATGATAACGATTGATAAATTCTAACTCGATTCTGTCGGACTACAGCCGGCAACGAGGGAGAAACTTGAAAATACGAGGGGAATAAAAAATGAAGTACGAAGCTCGAGAGGTTATAGCCGGGCACTGTGTGCCCGTTTCTCACAAGACGAGCGTACTGGAGGGGCCGATGATCCGCACGGAACAGAAAAACTCGCGAAGAGCGGAGAACAATGATTACGTCTCAGGACAGAGTTCTCAAGCAACCATCGAGCTCGCAGCGAGAGCTGAAGGCATCCTTCAATGGATGTCGGCTACGAGCAACTTCACTCGAGGCCCACAAGAAGCCGAGAGTCGAGGTCGCCGTTCGAGGAAACAAATTATTGCAGCCGATGAATTGAAGGTGCGATTCTCCCGAAGCGAACGCAACAAGAGAAAGAAACGCATACACGACGCCTGCCCCGGCCGCCCAACATCCTCCGAGTCGGCGACGGTGGTCTCTGGTGGCCGCGGCACGATACTCAGCGACCCTAATTGCGGTGTTTGCATCCCTTGCTTCGATTCTCGAAATTTCCTGGGTCGTCGACGTCGTCATCATCGTGGCTGTGTGTATTTGTCGTCAGCTTCATCTCGACGATGGTCTCATCTCACCCACTATTCGGTTCTCCGGTCGCGCCTCCGGTCGCGCTGCCCCCCTGGCATGGGCCAAGCGGCGATTCTGTCCGTCAATTTCCAGAGACACCTCAGCTTCCCCTTTGGGGTTCGGCCTCTCACAGCGCGAAGTTTCACGCGATCGGTTTCCGTTGAATTCGTACTACGAGCCCTTCGGTTCTCGTCGTATAGGAAGGCAGGTTCTAGGTCCCGAACTTCGGTTACACGCTGCTCTCCTGTATGACGAAGAATTCGACTCTCGCACTCCGATAGATCCCCAGGCAAAAAAAAGGGAACTTCGAGAAGGTTCATATCCTAATCCGGGGCCTGTGATCCGACCAGATGACTGCCGAACTACCCATTACCGACCCGAGAGAGCGGTTGTATCAGAGTGTAAACACAAGCTGGATACGTTCGAAGAAGGTCAGGGTTCAAGAATCCAACTGTCTCGTTGAGCAGTTGGTCATACGCCTGTGCATACAACGCGTAGCTGCATAGACCGATCGGCGCGCTGAGTGGGTGCCTGACTCAATGATATCGGCGCGTCGCTGATTGCCACATGGCGCCGTACCATATTTTACCAGGTCCGCGTCAGATGCGATACCTTATCTCTCGGAAGTATTTTCGGACAAGTTTGTTTCAAACATGACGCTGTCTCCGGCGAATAAGCCTGCCCGCAGCATTCGTTCGGAGTCGAAACCTTACTTAGTGAAAGCCCTGAACGAGATAGGTTTCCCAATGAGCTAGGCCCAGAGCTCCTAAAACTTTGTCAACCCAAGTCTGTGAAAATATTGACTGATCCGAAAGACCCTCCACGACACAGACGCGAAAAAGACTAGAAGGGGGCAATCGCTAAATTGCTGTCCCGAGACCTCCGAAAGATCCGACCACAAAAGGATTTCAGCGCGGGAGCTAGACTCGACCACACCAAGAACTCTATCGCTTCCAACTGATTGTACATGCAAATGCCCGAAGATCTTTATCGGGCTCGAAATATGCCCGGTATTCAAATCTTCATCGTCGTCTCCGATCCCAAGATCCCCAATTAGGCGGGACATATGAGCGTGAAGGAAGCTTGAAGTTCGAGAAATCTAAATCATCGTCATCTCATCTTTGGAGGTGAAGTCGGGCCTTCCTCTGAAGTTCGATCCTAGAGCTGAAGAACTAAAAAATAAAAGAGTAATAAACGTTCAAAGCGAGACGAGATTGAGGAATTATCTTTGTTTCTCCCGCTCGCTGGCTGGCTGTTCTCATGTCGAAATTCTTCGTCCGCTTAAGTTTATGGCTTGCGGTCGGAGAGGTCTCTTCAAGCTAGCGTCAAATATCGGTCAGACCTCTCGTATCTGCAGAATCACTCTTTTGCCCTCCGCCTTCGGTTACTTCCGATATCATCGGCACAGGGCGATACTAATTTTCTAGGTGCAGTCTCTTTCCTAGCCTTCGGCGGCACAAGGAACATCCGATTCCGGCGTCTCGCGTCGCTTCCAATTACCTCTCGTGAGTTGTGTTTACTTGAGAGCTCTCGAGTTTTTCTAGTTTGTGGTGTGTCGCTCTCTGCTCGGATATCACCGCTTAATCCATCAATACCTACTGGTCCGCTCTCGGACGGGTATCAAACGCGACTCGCTCCCGATGACAATCGTCGACTAGAATTTCACCCTTTCCTCCCCGGGACCGATATCGATCCTATTCGATTTGATTTAGAGACCGAGATTTCGAACCCCGACTACCTGAGCGGATCTAAACACTTTCTCGACCCCGGTGTCACCGGGTACCGTAGTTAAATAGGTCCTCTTTCCTCTCAACGGACCGCATCTATATTCATTCGATCACCTTTGTTTATGCATGCACGGTTCCATTGAGGATACCACTCTCAGTCGATCGCTGACTCGTGCCCTGAAAGAAGAGTCAATCCTTATACGAGTCTGTCCGAGTATCGTCGGACATCCATGCGCTTGTAGTTCTTGTTCAGAGAAGCGTGTGTGCTTTCAGGTCTATTGTCAGAGAGCGGACATTTTCCCACAAGCGCCATAACCAGCTCTCACACGGCCTCTCTCGCTCTCTATAACTCATTTTCGCTCTCACTGAACGAGTGAGTTTAGAACTCACTTCACAGCTTGCGTTCAGACACGCTCTGAAAATGACGCTACTTCACACCCACAGGCAGATGTTGCGCATGCGAGACCGGCGAACTTGTTCCACAGCTCCCTGGGATGTTCCTGAGGTTCGCATTTTCATTTCCTTCCACCGTAGAAGCTGAAACAAAAACTCGTTGTTCGGGGATAATCAGAAACTCTTGCCTGCGTCGAGTCGGAGATGCGAGTGCACATACTCAGACTCTACGTACCTGTTCGGGGGACGATTCGAAGCGAAAATAATCTCCCAAAAGAAGGAATATTCGTCGATCAGGAGGATTATGAACTTTGGGGAGGATGAGTAGTCAATGTTTTTTGCCCTTTGGATTTCATACATTCGAAATGCCTTTCCTAACTCCGAGCTCGCTATTCAGTTTCCCTCCAGAGGCTTAGGTATCCGTCGAAACTTTTCAAAAGCAAAGTGTCCGACGCTCTGAAACTTTCAAACTCCATGTCAAACACCGCTCGTTCGTCCATACTGTCTGAAAGATGCGCTGGATTAGGACCCCGCAAAGTAGAGTCCACCGCGAATGTTTATCGGCCATTGAAAGGTTTTTTCTCCCGCTCGAGGGGACCGCATTCAGTGTCCGTATGTTTTTTTTCCTACTTACTAGACCCTGCTTGAAAGACGAGTCCGCCCGTGGCTGTTTCCGCTCGCTTCCGTGATTCCCAACTGACGGGATTATAGAGCTTCAATACAGAAGGAGACGACAGCAACCGAGTGGGGGAACGAGGGAAGATGGGAAAAGTGGATATAAAAAAGAGATTTCAACCCCACCGAGTAGACAGGCGGAATACATACAATGGACACTGAAGGCTTAGCCAGGTATCGTTCGTATACATAATCGGCCACTACGTAGGCTCGAGTGGGTGGGGAGCACCGTGAAGCAGGGCGCAATAGAACGTGGTGGGGTTCCGCTTGAGCCGACGTTTCGCAGACGACAGAGAGTCCGTGGAAGAAGTGGAGCAGAGCCCTGTGCATACGCCGAGCTCTCGAGAGAGCGCAAATCCCGAACTTGCCGCGTTGGACCCCGAGACCCTGAGCAAACGAGATGAACTCCGAGAAGCTCAGTGTTTTTTTTTGACGACTGCGAAATATCAACGCTTCGTCTGAGACTGATTCCGTGCTGTCGTTGTGATGACGCAGGAGAGGACAACAAGCACAGGAAACGGAATCGCTCCAGAGGGAGAACGCAATGGTTTCCTCTCGCAAGTCCCGAGGCGCGGACATGAATAACGTTTCTGGGTCGATGCAAAGCAAACAATTTATGGGGTCGATCGCGGAAACCGGCGAATTACTTCATTCAAGGAAGCCAAAATCGCTCCTCAATAATTTACGCGAACAACAGCGGCATAATCAAGGAATGAAGGACGGGCCTCCATGCCCGGGATAGAAGAATGGCCGCTCGAAAAATAGAACAACGACTCGATCGATCGCATTATTGGCCATAAAACTATGAATAGCCGCCTCGGGAGATGAGCAGAAGAAAAGGAGACAAAAACGTATATAGACGAACGAGACAAGGATTCTAGTGCGGAGACGATGGACGCGAGCCATCATCGGCTTCGCTTTGTAATAATTTCACGCTGCGAACATTCCTCCCAAACAGATGGATCTTCCAGAATATGACGTCGAATTCAGCGTAAGAATCTCCTCCTTCTAGGGGCCTGACCTGGACCGATTAGAATTAATCGAGATCAAGACGAATTATCTCCTATCTCAGCCTCTTCCCCTGAGCATGACCAGGCTTCGTTGTGATGCGTATCGGCTCTCCGAAATCGTCCTCATCCGAGTTGTGACGAGCCGAAACCATTACCGGCGGTATTACCGAGTTCTGGTAGTGCTGTGAAATGCATACGGTAGCAACACGGCGCAGTACTCAAATCTATCAAAGTCACACCGGTCACATCACGGCGGAAGAGCTGCGAGTAATTATCGGCTAATAACATGTCATCAACGACTTCATCGAGCGGAGAATCCACACTGTTGAGAAGCAGCCCAGAAGATTGAGCGGTTGAGAGACTCGCTGTCTCGCGACGAAGAGAATTCTGTATCGCACACGATTCGGCGACAATTTTTGCGTCGTCGCGAGCTGCTTGACGCGTCCGAAGCATAAAAACGCGGTCAAGCCGACCGATGGTAAAATACGTAGTTGCCTTCCTTTGAGCCGTTACCCGACCATCGACTAAGAAAACGTCCGAAACGCGACTGTTCGGACGATATACCTAATTTCTGAGGAGTTTTTGCCCACTCCAACCGGTATTGGCGAAAAAGTGACAGAATATTGACGCGAAATCCAATCTGTGTCGAATTGAGACCTCAAAGGTCCAAATTTTCTTAGTCGATCTACTCTGGATATCGAAGCCTGGTATCTCTACCAGATCTGCGGCCGTGGGGCGAGCGGAGGTCCTCCAGGTTCATCGGAGGGAATTCCCCGCCCATTTTCCCTCGTACCGCTCCCTCTGCGGTCCGCGACCCCCTTAGTTTTGTCTCGCTCGTCCCTCATCTTGAGTCCTCTTTACTCCTCTGCTTGCATGCTCTATCGAGCTCTTGTCTCGGCTTCCCTTCCCCCGTTCATTCTCGTCATAGCACCCCTGGCCCTCATATCCCCGCTCCGCCTCCTCTTGGTCCCCTAATGCTCGCAAACTCTTTTCAAGGTTCCAGGTGGTCGTGATTATGTTCATGTTGACAGACCCGCATCGTACACGAGCCCAAATCGCACAGGGGAGAAGAAACCCTTTGCTTGTCGCAGATTGTCCCGGGCCGACTCCGAGGCTACAACGATTTGCAACGCATTTCCACATCATATGCAATCGCTCACAATCACTCACTGTCCCGCCGGTGGCTTCATTGCAGGACTCACCTGTGAAGACTCCGCAGTAGGTACACCCTCTTTTTAAAATTTTATTATTTTCCCCGCTCAGCAATCGAATATGGGAACCTGCTCGTGCCGATGGCAGCGTCCGTGCTCGAGAAAGATGGCTGAAGGTCGCAATACACAGGTGGTCTCGTCCCATCGATCGGAAGAAGAAATTATCGAAGTTTTGCCACCGGTGGGTGAGGACTTTCTTACTCACGAGCTCTAATTTGTGTGGCGATTCCAAGAAACTGTCCCAGTGCTTTCGAGAGAAGACTCGCTCATGATCGGGAGCAAACACTCTGCGTAGAGCAGAATTTGACCGAAAAGAGAGTGCGGAAATCAGCGGAGCCTTCAACGAAAGGACTGGGTCGTAAAACGCTGCGAGCTCGGAACTTTGAAGAGGAATACGCCGCGAATCGCAAGTACTCAAAAGCTCGGCAAGCGATTCAGTAGCAAAACTCCAGGGTCGCAAACCTCGCGGTTAGCACTCTGACCCGTCCGTGGATGCGCGGCCTGGGTGAGCCTGGTCTCCGCTCGAAAACACTGAGGTCTGTGAATAACTGATGATGCGGTCCGATCCGAAGAGGGGAGCCGGGGGAATCCGGAGGGAGGTTCGGGGAGTTTAGGGGATCAGTACGGGAGCAACCGAGGGAATCTTGGGTGGGTGCATACTTAGAGAGCGGTCTATCGGTCGGGAGACTTCGTTGCTTGTTTGAGTTTTGACAGGAGGTGGTTTGGAGCATGTGGTGATTAATTGGAGTCTCTCGCTAAATTTTCAATTCAGCCTCAAGCTCTGTCATGCGCATTCCGCCAGTGTTGCTTATATTCTGAAGAGCTTGTTTATCACATCCAAACTGAGTCTTGAGTTGCGGAAAAAAATTTCGTTACTCGTCCCTGTCGTCTTCTGACCACGAAACGGGGAAGAATCCTCTCTTCCGGAGCGTCTCGATCCAAGGAGATCCAATTGAGCTCTCCGTCCGAGTTCTTCATCGGGGCGTGGGTCTCAGGCTTGATCAAAACTCGGATAACGTGGCGCCATGAGCTCAATAGCAGGGAATTCGATCGAAAGAGAGACCCGAGTCTCTGGATCCTTATCGGGTTGCGTCACTCCCGAAGTTGGCTGCTCTTGAGCCAACGCATTAGTATTCTGCAGTGCATATGTTCCACTGTTGAGAAAGAAGCGAATTATTCCTAATCCACTAAAGTATTCAAAAGCATTCGTAACTCGTATCGACTAGCTGGAGTGTGAATGAGGCTGAGAAATCGAAAACCGACCAGGTTTGAGTCTCCCGTCGAATTCATGCATCATTGTGTGGCGTTGTACCGAAGCAGCAATATTTTGGTTTCGTCGGGGTGTTGTTGGTGGTGGTGATTATTGTTATCCATGATGGCGGTGAGCTCTCTGGCTTCGTGGTGGTGGTTCCTCTCGCTAAGCCAGAATAGATTTCGCAAACCCGGGTCCGCCTAATTCTTTCGGCACTTCTCTCATGAGCCTGCTCGGATTCGGTTATCCGCGAGTGCGAGCGGCGGACAGACGAACAGACATTCAGACGAACGAACGAACGCCATCGTTGCAGGTTCGCCCATATTTATAATTCAAATCCATCCGAAATCTATCGCATTGTCGGCACGGATGAGTTTTGTTGTGGTAGACGCACCGAGCTCATCGAACTCACTCGAATCCGGGACGGTGGTGGTGGCGAAACAGACTCCCAGTGAAGTAGAATGCAGGAAGTTCCGATGTTCGATTGTTGTCAATCTTTTCTTCGCTCACGTTTACCTACGCAGCTGCTCTCACTGGGAACCGTGGTGACTGCTGCGTCATCGCGGAGCCGCGGCCAGGGTCGGTCTGGAGGGCCTTTGGCGGAGCTCTGACGGACGAACGAACAAACGAGCGAGCGGGCGAACTGTTGTTCCTGTGTGAGCCCCGGGTCGTTCGTACGAATTTTGAAAATGCATTACTCTGCCGGCTGCACGATTTGCATATTTATCGGAGTGTTCTGAAATCAACGAAGGCAACAACATGCCTGCACGTCAACGATAGAGCGCACGAGACCGCACGCTGTTTATGGCGCTCCTGCGAAGTATGCGGACATCGAATAGCGGGCGAACGAGTAAAAGCGTAAAATCGTGGGGGCTAGCTGGGAATAGAGAAGGCAAGCATCGGAGACGGGGGAAGGATGGAGGGTCGATGGGGATGCTGGTCATTTGGTGAGTGAGCCCACGCGGTTCGTTGTTATTGACAAGCATGATTCTTAGCGACTTTCCTGCCTCGTATATCTGGGCGTTACCAAGCCGAGCAAAGTCGCAGGATAGGCGATCGAGAGCTCAGCTGGCAATTTACAACGTGAACTTGAGTTCGAGATGCATCTTCCTAATTCAAACCCCGGGTAGACGAGAGGATAGAGGGCTCTGGAGCGATCTCTCGAAAGAGAATCCAGTGTTTTCGCAGAAATTTATGTCTAGTCTCGCAGTACAGCTGAACCACTGATACGATAGGATGCCCGATAAGACTTACGACTGTGTATCGCACGGAGCACGATCATGAAGAACCTCCATTGTTGGAGTTCGCTTGAGGCTCGAGAAGGCTTTTTCCTGTAGATTACTCTGCGGATACAGTAGAGTCAAGTGTGTTTCGTGTTTTCGTTATTTTATTTCGAGCCTACGGATTCGCATGCTGCCGGCAAGCGAATCGCCATGGATTGCTCGACAACGTCGCGAACTCCATGCGGGGATTTGCTGTCGTTCGACAGCTCCTCGCCTTGAGGACCTGTACGTGCCCAGGGTTCACATTTCGCGAGTCTCCTAATGAGTCGCCAGATTCACGGAGAAGTTATTCGAAACCCTTACCGCGTCGAGATGCTCGGACTGATGAACTCACACACAGGCTTGAGACACACTTGAGCTGAGTTTGACGAGCTTCAAAAAGAGTGAAGTGCGCCATAGATCGATCAACTAGTGGATGAGCTGTGAATATGTGCCTCCTTGAATGGTCGAATGAGCGTTAGGAGCGTGAAAATCCACTCAATGATTTTTTTCTTCGAAGGCTGTGGATAATCTTTTCACCCATCATCACGTCCGGGAGCATCGTTACCTCAAGATGAAAATTATTCGAATCACCATAATGGGCCAGAGTACTCGATCGCCTCCTTGAGATAGAGGATGTTGTTGGAGCGACGATGTGGGCCCTCAATTGAGGGAGGTCCGAGATCATTGGTGGGGAAAACTCAGGGAGCAGTACGATGCTGTCTACCGAGGGTATCTGGGGCGGGGAAGAATCCATGGAGCTCGAATGAATGGGATCATCGCTCGTCGGAGACCACATTCGGAACGAGAGCATCGGGGACCAATCGCCTTCGCGGGGCTTGCTTCTGGCGGCTCGAGAGAAAATCATCGACTCTAACAGATGCTAAGCGGACGGCAGACAGAGCTCGAAGCAGTTAGGACGGCGACAAAGAGAGGTGGAGCTGGAGGATCGTTGAAGAGGATTCAGCGTAGCATGAATGCTAGGGATAGCTTCCA